TAACAGAGCCCGGATGCAGAGATGAGTCAGGCCAGGGGGAGACATCCAATCGCCCCAATCAGTGGGACGCGCATACTGTCTCCCTCGCTACCAAGGAGTGTGGGCCCTGCCTTTTGGGCGTCTTTTGGGCACCAATTCTGACCAAGGTGATAGGCTAGTTCAAATAGCTACTATGGGGTGAATTGTAATTAAGTTGGCCACCCGTGTGTGACCAACCATGACTGTGCAGCTTTCTCTGTGTGTTGCAATCTTATTGGCCAGTTGTGTGTGGCCAGGCCCAACCACATGGCCTTTGCTCTATAAAAGTTAGTCTGTAAGGCAGGGAGGGGTCGCCCTCTCTGTAAGAGGTCGGTTTGATTTCTCGATGGTTGGCGAGAAATAAAGCTTTGCTTGACCTTCGCTTTCTATCAGTCTCGCTCCTTTGATTATGGACCTAACAATAATATTATTACTTCTGGAATAACCTTGAATTTGACCCAATTGATTTACATAAAGGAAATTATTTACACACTTCAATACTCCATTAGGGACAAAGTTGCATGTGATCACAGCTGATCAAAGCAGGCAGCCATGCAACAGCAAAGTGCAGAATCGCAGCCCTGGCCTCGCGCGCCAAGGAAGGGGGTAAAGATGGCTCTCCACTTCTAGCAAAATCAGTGGCCTTTCAATCCAGGTAGAAACACATGGAAAAGCAAGTCCTCCCACCAAGAAAACCAAGAGTCATGGACTCTCCACAACTTTCACTGCTGTCCACCAGGCCAGAAAACTTTCCCCAGGGAACCAATCCAATCTGCCATCACTTTTTTAAATTAAAGTCTCACTCTCTGGCCAATTTTAGGGAATACAAGAGTCTTTCAAATGTAAATTGTAAAAAACAGGCCAAAGACACATTTAAAACCCAGTATTTGTTGAAAGCTAGGATCTCAAAATACATTCTCCCCAGACTGAAAAGGAAAATAAAATTTTTGCAAATAATGTCTTTTTGGGGCTTTCCCTCTCATTTCTACCGGTGTCAGGTGTCTTTGACAGCTCACCTATGTCCCATTAGCGCTGCCTCCAGGACAACAGTTCAGCAATTGAAGGCAGTTACTTGGAAGCAGAGTACAAGCACCAAACACAGGGGCCAAATTGAACTTCGCAAATTGAAGAATCTGCTCTCTCCTTGGTTTTCAATCGAAGAAATGGGATTTCATTACAAAGACAATGCCTGGAAAAGTGCTTGGGCAGGAAACAGCACTCCCAGCATGGGGTCCCATCCATTCAACGCTGCAGCTGGGAAGGGATTTAGGACTTGGTCATACATCTGGATTAAAGGGGTCTTTACAGAGAATTGTGTCTGCATAGTGTATTTCTGGAAGGATGCAGGGGAAACTGGCAGCAGTGGTCACCTCTGGGGAAGTGAAGTGGGTGTCAAGGGAGCAGGGAAGGTTGTTCATGGTATACTTGGAATTCGGAGTCATGTACGTGTATTACCTACTCATAAAATAATAATTTTAAAGAACGAATGGAACTTACACACACACAAAACAGATGAATGTCATAAAATCCGCTCTCCCAAAAAAAGAGTCTGTTCAAAAAAACCCAAGTAGGTGAATCCCATGTTTCCACCCTCTGACTTAAGCCTCGTCGTGTCTGGGTAGTCATGGGAGTCATGGAAGAGGAAAACACTCACATCTACAGTGGGAGCTTTAAATTCACTTCTGGAACTCCCGACACTTATTTCCACTATCAGGGACTTTTCCAGGACACCCTATCCCTCAAAAATAACACATCCCAAACCCAAATCCTCCTCTTCTCTTCCCTCTTTCCTACCCTCTTCTCTCCAACCCTGATCCTGCTCCAATAGCCTCAGTCATTATTAGAAAGAAAGAAGAAAAAAAAACCAAACTACCATTCAGCTTCTCAATCTAAAAACCTCAGTGTTACCTTGAGGACCCTCTCCTCACCCTTGTTATAGTCACCAAATATTGTTAATTCCATCACGATGCTGTTTTTCAAATAGATGACCTCTTGTCCTATCTCACTGACCTTTTCTAGTTTAAGATACTATAACTACATTCCTTCACTGAAATGGGAACACCTGCTGGTTTTCCAGCTAGTTCATTCTTTTTTTTTTTTTAAGATTTTATTTATTTATTTGACAGAGACAGAGAGAGTCACAAGTAGGCAGAGAGGCAGGCAGAGAGAAGAGGAAGCAGGCTCCCTGCTGAGCAGAGAGCCTGATTTAGGGCTCAATCCCAGGACCCCAGGATCATGACCCGAGCTGAAGGCAGAGGCTTTAACCCACTGAGCCACCCAGGTGCCCCTAGTTCATTCTTTACAATTCCCCGCCCCCGTCATCTTTCTCAGACACAATTATCCGATCATGCTTCAGAAACTTGGATAGCTCCCTAGTGCCTCCGGAATTTAGCCCACATGTCCTAGTTTGACAAATGATCCCTTACCTGTGACCTGAAAAAAACATGCCACCCCTAACACATACCCTATGCTCTGGCCACTCTGGTGTCACCAGCCTTGCTCATTTATGCCTCTTTCGAGCCTCCAAACTTTCACTTGCTGTTTCCTTGACTTGAAAGCTTTCCCCTCCCTCCCGGCCCTGCCTTAGGCAAAAACAATTTCCTATTCTCCCCCTTCCAGACCCCTACTCAGTTTATACCCTCTCTGAAAAGCCTTTTCAGGACTGCTTCCTCCTCCGTACTCCTCTAACACTTTGCACACACCCTCATCATCACCCCAACCACACTCTTTCGTAATTATTTATGTTTCTTTCTCCCATGCCAGAATGTGAGCTGCTTTAAGAAACAGCTGCTATATTTTATTCATCTTTGAATCCACTGCACCTCCCTGCTAACACTGCCCATAAATGTTTGCTGAATGAATTGGCTGAAAGTACTTTGGTAAGAATGTAACACATTATCCCAAAATTTTATAGACCTCTGTGGCTAAAATCTCATTTCTTTGCCCTCTCTCTCTGCATACCTATTGGCACGCTATCACAGGTCCCCAGGGGGCCAGTTATTCAAAAGGAACTAACAAAGTGCTTGCTATTTGTAAACCCTCTGGGCTAGATTTAGAGATTGCCTTTCTAACTCTGACAATGCTCCTTTGAGTACTCACTCCACTATAAGAAGCATTTCTTTTCAGAATGTCTTGAGTCCTATAAGTAACCTTTGTTTATCCTGAAAACACTTTCCGGGAAGCTGAAAGTAGGCAAAAAAAAAAAAAAAAAAAAAAGCAATGTAGTGACCTGGCAGGGACCTATCTGGTCTGTGAGCTTCTGGCCTACCTAAGAGGAGAAGGGGAGATTCAGGGACTCTACTTCCACCACCAGAAGCTACTCAACCACTTGAACCTCCAAGGACTCTCTGCTCCCCAGGGAAGATCGTGGCAGTCCATTAATACAAAATTATTCTAGTAAGCATCACAAGGGAAGTGATAACCCCAGTGTCCTGAAGAACAGTAGGTAACAAATTTGGGTATGATTAGGGGTAGAGACTCATTCAGATGGAGCCCAAGGGGGCAGAGATCCAATGACAACTTCCAGCCTCAGAGTCTTTGGCTCTTGCTCTACCAGGAATATTCTACCGGGAGATATTTACATTGAGGTCTCTGCTTGAAGGTGACCTCCCAAGAGGCTTCCCTGATGACTCAATCCAAAAGAGCACCGTCCATTACTGGTCATCTCCTCACCCTGCTTTATCTGTCTTTCAGCATCTTGAGCATATCAAAGCACTGGTAACTGATACCATCTTGCCTATGTGTTTGTATGCTGCCCACTGTCTCCCACTCCCACTCATTCACCCCAGAGAGCAGAGACCTTGTCTTGTTCCTAGACCATCCAAGCACATAGTAATCTCCCCATAAAGGTTCCTTCATTTTGTTTAAAAAAGCATACAAAGAAATATTCAAGTAGCTGATGATTTCAGCAAAAACATAAGACCCAAGTTAAAATGTTTAAAGCTAGCAAGGCTAAATACATGTGATAGATGGATGAGGAGGAAAGCAAATGACAGATTTGCTGAGGAAGGAGTGGTTGTGCATGGGGATGGCAAGGGAGTATTTCCCAGAGAAGATGAGATTCATGTCGAGCTCAAAGGCACTGGAAAGTTCAGTAAGCTTAAGAAAGCAGGCCAGTGTTTCACCTTGGGAGATGATACAGTCCATGTGTGATAAGGCCAAATGATTAACACATGAGGGTTCACAGCTTATCCAACACTTGGCCACCCACCGTCCAGGAGGGAAAGGATAAAAGCCCCTGAGGTAGATTCTCTCAAGAAAAGCTGACAGAGTCAAAGAAGAATCACAAATCCCATATATATCTAGAAGTGATGGATGGGACTAGAGGAGTGCTCAAGAAACAAAGATGGCAGGAAGAGCACAGCACAACGTTCTTAGTTTTGGGGAGGGATGAGAAACAATAAGGGAGAAGAAATCAGTAATGAGCCTTGAGAAGTGCCTTGTTGGGCCTGTATGAATGCCCTTAACTCAGGAGAGAGGGCATGAGTCCTGGCTGGGCCAACGTTGACTTATCCCTTTGTGCCTGCCTCTCCTCGTCAGTAAAACCGGAAATAATAAATAATTTACACGATGGGACTACCATGGGGATTAAGTGGGTTGATGAGAACAGCCCCTGGCATGTCAGGATTGTCCTTATCATTAGGATTTTGGGAGCCCTGATTCTTTAAACTCAACATTGATTTAATGGTTTCTATGGATAGTAGCTTTATACAAATTACACATTTTAAGGAGCAGTATCATCAACAGCTTGGCCAAAGCAAAAGGTTCCGTGTTGGGATAAAGTTAGAGAGACAAACCGAAGTGAGACTATTGGAGGACTGTGTCCCCCACTGAGGAATCCAATCTTTTCAGCACGCTGGCTCTCAGATGAAATTATTTTGCAGGTAAAAGAGGGCCTAAGTAGCTTTCAAGTAGAGTGAGCATGGGCCGCTTAACAGAACGGTGGGCCCCATCCAGCCTAGGAATGCCATGTGGGTACTCACGGTTCCGGGGTGTAGAGGGGGTCCGAGCCATGCCGGACGTACTGGGTACAGTGGAACACCCTGTAGGCCAGTCCCGCCAGAAAGTCTCGCGGACTCAGGTATCCAGCCACCGGCCTCACAGTGAAGCCCGATCTTTCTGAAATGACAACGGAAAGAGCCAACTAAACATTAACTGAACAAGACTTGAGGGCCCAAGCAGGGTGTCCTATTATTTATAAGGACATCCTAGAAACAAAGTAATCAAGGTCTTTAAAACCCTTGACAGTTGAAGGACATCTACGGTTAATAGCTATCACATTTGTGGCTTCTGATTACTAAAATATACTCCGGCATGATGGTTTCCAGGGGAACAAGACATTCATTAAAATGGAAAGAAAGGTGAAAAAAAAAGATTTAAAGATTTAAATTCAGAAGCTGAATTAGGATAAGAAAGCTCAAATTCACAGGACAAGATTACAATTAAAGTGATGTTTACCACGTATTACCTTGTATCTTTCTCAAAGACACAACCATACTGTCTGTCTATGTTCAGTTCACCCACAGCTAAATCAGCCCCGTCACGAGCCTTGTGGAATCAGTTCACACTAAGGCTTTCTATTGTCAACACCCCCTACCTCCCTCATTCCACGTTGCTGTTTTCTGTGATATTATGAAAAAAATCATATTAATTACTATCATTTGAAGAGGTACACTAAAGCTCTACATGCTTTATTGGCTTCTGGGAGGAGGAGACAAAATAAGCAGAACTCAACACGATGTATGAAGCTGCCCTATACCTCTAACCCAATTAGGCTGGGGGTCATCAGTGTCCTCGGTTTAAGGGCTACCTAACGCTCGCTTGTGGTGACAGCCCCGGAAATTTACAACAGGAGGGCTACCCTTATCTCTGACACCAGCATCGTGAAGGCTCCCATTCTGAACACCTCGTCTCATTAGGAGAGCACCTCAGAATGGTTAGAATGGTTTTAAAAGGCAAGGACCAATTAAGCTTATAAATCCCGTCCTGGGATTTCTGGTATCTACGTGAAAAATATCCCTGTTCTCAGGCCTCCTCAGACCCATAATTCTAACAATATTATGTTCATTCTAAAAGCTTTTACTTTGGATTGTTCCCTACTGAATATCAAAAAGATAAGTGTACTTTCTTCTTTTTCTCTTTTATGTCAATTAAACCAGTATATCCCACGTGAGGAACCTGAAGGGTGATACAAAGAGAAATGTTCTTTATTTGAAGTTATATATCTTATTTTTACATAATTTTTTTTAAAAATATGTAACTAACACATCAAGAACTTAGAATGTGTGGATATCATTGCTTTAGAAGTTTCCTTTTAAAATACATTAGGCATTTAAAAGCGAGTCAGTCAAAAAATAATAAAATGAAATAATAAAAAAAAAACAACACGTACATTTACTTGCTCTGTGCCAATGAATGATGCAGACTGAGCTCCCAGTGTCCAGTTCACAGAGGTCTTGAAAAATAACAGCAAGAACAATAGCAGTAATAACTAAGACTCTGCTATGCTTAAAATGTGTCAAGAAATAACTTTAGGGGGCGCCTGGGTGGCTCAGTGTGTTAAGTCTCTAACTCTTGCTTTGGTCTCAGGTCATGATCTCACAGGTCATGAGACAGAGCCTTGCCTTGTTCTTTGAGGAATCTGCTTGAGATTCTCTCCCTCTGCCTTTCTTCTAACTCCTTGCACACACATGCTCTCACACTCTCTCAATAAATAAATAAAATGTTTAAAAAAAAAAAAAAGAAAGATATAGGGTCACCTGCATGGCTCAGTCAGTTAAGTGTCTGCCTTAGGCTCAGTAATGATCCCAGGGTCCTGGGATTGAGCCCCTCATTGGACTCCCTGCTCGGCAGGAAGCCTGCTTCTCCCTCTCCCTGATGCTCCCACTACTTGTGTTCTTTCTCTCTCTCTCTCTCTCTGTCAAACAAATAAATAAAATCTTTAAAAAGTTAAAAATTAAAAAAGGAAATTAATGGGGCACCTGGGTGGCTCAGTGGGTTAAGCCTCTGCCTTCGGCTCAGATCATGATCTCAGGGTCCCCGGATGGAGCCCCGCATTGGGCTCTCTGCTCAGCAGGGAGCCTGCCTCTCCCTCTCTCTCTGTCTGCTGCTCTGCCTACTTGTGAACTCTGTCTGTCAAATAGATAAATAAAATCCCCCCCCCAAAAAAAGGAAATTAAGATTTTTTAAAGAAATAACTTTAGGGCTTCTAGGAATATCAATATCAGTTAGTGTCCCTTCCCAACCACATTTTGAGGTAGATAAAATGACAATCTCCATTTGCAGAGAAGAAACTGAGGCACAGAGAGGTTACGAGAACTCATCTGAGGTCACACAGCCAAGAACTGGCAGAGTGGGGACCCAGCACAGGCATTCTGCAGCCAGAGTCCACGCTATACCACATAGCCTCTCATAAAAATATTAAGTTGGGAGACAGACGTGGCAAAAATTATGGGATGGTATTCTAATTACTGGAGTTTGGGAAACAACGTAGTAAAAAGCAATTCCCATACATGAGTAATCAAGCCCATGGTAAATCTATAATATGCACATAACTGTAGGAAACAAAAAGGGACATGCCAAAGGCAAGGCCATTAGGGAGAACATGAGCCACTTAAACAACATAAGGCATTATGTAATTAGAAAATAATTAAGCAACACTGATTAGTGGTCTCAGTCTTTTTCCTGTAGTAAGAAATATCATGGATGATGTTTACACATGGGGCTGTCCCATTGCGCTGGACGTGGTTCCGTATACCCGCTCTCAGACCATGCCTCCTTCTCCCCTGATACACACAGGAACTCCGAGAGGGAAAGGTTGTGGGGACTGGTAGGATCAGGATTTGGAGAGGAGACAGGACTTGCTCTGAGTCTTAAAGAATAGGAAGAATTTGATAGGTGGAGGAGGGAGGATTTTTCTAGCAAGGGACAGAACCACAGAACCTGGGCAAAGGTATGGAGATCCCACAGGTAGAATGGAGGGTTTGCACAGCACAATCGTCACAGCGCACCATCTGGGAAAGCCAGGTTGGAGCCTTGAGTTGAGGCTGAGCAGTTCAGAACGGGATCATATAAACCAGAGATCAGCAAACTGTGGCCTGTAGTCCAAATCCAGTTTGTTGTGTGCACCCCACGAGCTAAGAATACTTTTTAGATTTTTTTTAATGGTCACACTTCAATAGTTATTGAAGTACTGACAGAAGAGCCTCCATTTGTCTCTTGGCCCGCAAGAACAGAAACAGTCATTATCTGGCCTTTACAAAAAAAAAAAATGTCTAACCCCAGTAAAAATCAAAGGGGAACCCCTGGTAGCTTCTGAGCAGAGATGTCTGGAAGGAAGTGATGCTTTAGGAAGCTTCATCTGGAAGCAGAGGACAAGAGAGTGTCGGGGAGAAAATACGGACATCAAGGTTGTAGAACAGGGACCTCAGTCTGGGTGGTGGCAGTTGGCAGGCTGACGATGGGTAGCAAAGCTAGAAGTGGCCCGACGTGGGGGCTGTTGCAAGCTGAGGCATAGCCTCCGAAGGTACCCATGACCTCACAGCCTGAACCTGGGACTATGCAGCCAAATAGGCTTTGCAGGTGTGATTAAGTTAAGGGTTTTCAGATGGGGTGATTATCCTGGATTACTCAGGGGAGGTCTGAGATAATCACGAGGATCCTTATAAAAGGGACACAGGAGGGTCAGAATCAGAGAAGGAGACATGACGAAGGAAGCAAGAGGATGGAGCCATGTAAGGAAAAGGCCAGGAGCCAAGGAAGGCAGGTAGACTCCAGAAGCTGAAAGAGGCAAGGAAACAGAACCCTCCAGAAGGAATGCAGCCCAGCCAAGACCTTGGTATTAGACTTCCCATCTCCAGCGCAGTAAGATAATACGTTTCTCTTATTTTAAGTCACGAAGTTTGTGGTGTTGTCTTAGAGCAGCAATAGGAACCTAATACAAAGACTGATTACCTAGTGGGGAGGGTGGGGAGGGTGGGGAGGAATTCAGAGGGGTTCCTGAGAGGTGGGCCTGAAGAGTCTAGAAAATAAAGTGTCACGGATAGAGGGTAGGCAGGCAAGGAAGGCAGTTCCAGGAAAGAAGAAGGGCAGCGAAGGTTTTGCTTTTACAACTGCTACACTTGAGACAGGGTAGAGGAAAGAATGGAGAACCCGGGACTCAACCCCAGGGAAGCTCAGAGGAGGAAGCAGGGCGACCAAGAAACCGGGCTTCCTGCTGCCACTCCTACAAGTTTCCCCCGTTGCTGTCCCAGGAGAGCCAGTGAGGAGAGTGACCACACAAGGACATGAACTTGAGCTGACACTGTGTCTCATCTAGTTGCCTACTGTATCAGACATGAGTATAGCCCCTGGCATATCACGTATATATAAAAATATTTCTTTGATTAATTGACTGGTTTCCCCCAAAGGAAAGTCACTAGTGTTCAACATTATCCATGATATTTCTTATGCAATACTAATTTTTAACAAAGCAATTAAAATGTCACCTTTGAGGTCATTCCATCCCCATGTAGCCCCACAGAGTAGTTCCTGGATCAGAAAGAGCTCAAAGCTGAACTTGCCAATAACCTTTGGGGTTTACCGCCTAGAACAGCCAACCACGAGAGAGCCCACCAAAGCCCCTGAGCGGTGTGAACAGCGGAGTCCCTCTCCCTGCCCACGGTCTCTGCTCTGCTTCCCGCAGGTGGCCCTGGGGAGTCAATGGCTCAGTGCTCCTCTCTTTAAATCAAAGGGAGTGTTTCTTTTTTTGTAGAAAGGGCCGTTTCCCGCACCATGTATCCTTGGGAGGCAAGCAAGGATGCTGGCTAGGAAGGCAAGAGACAGCCTGTGTGAAGCCCTACCTTTCAGAAATACGGAGACATCTTGGAGTTGAGGCACATTGTCCTCCCTGTAGCCACAGTATTTAGTCAGCAGAGGGAAGTTTTTCAAATACTCCCGGCAAGCATGAGTGGGGTAGAGCTTGGAGAGCTCGCGGAACACGACGCCCCACGTCTTCGTTTCTTCCTCTGTGTACTCCACCCTGGGGATGGGCTGGCCGCTGGACGGGAGAGAAGACCAGTGAATGACTCTAGCTCTGGAACGGAGTTAAACATCTCATTTCATACCTGCCATTAGTCAAGTTCTTGTAAAGCGGGACACCTGAGTGTCCAAAAGGATCCCATGCAGAATTATTTTTTTAATAAATGGTAACTTTTAATTTTGTATATTTGGACTTCCATACAAATGATCTGGTTAAGTTACATCTTCACACAACCTTATGGAAATTTGACAAGACTTATGTACTTACACTGAGATCAGTAATGAATAAGAGCTCTGGGTTGGAAGAAACTGGTTTGGGTACAAAGCTATGCTCTGGAAGCCTTTTCTGTAGTCATCTACTGAAGTCAATAAACGGATGTTGCCTCTAGAAAATGAAATTGCCTGTGGGTTCTCTTTGTCCTTGTGGGGAAACTGCCCCAATCTCCAAGTGTAATTTTGAGATTTTTCGTTCAGTGAGTAAAATGTCTGGGAACTACAGGGGGAAAAAAAAAAAACTATACTGAATTCTTGGGGTGCCTGGCTGGCTCAGTCAGTAGAGCATGTGACTCTTGAATTCAGGGTTGTGAATTTGAGCTCCACATTGGGTGTGGAGGGTATATAAATATAAAATCTTAAAAATAAAAAAACTGGGGTGCCTGGGTATCTCAGTTAAGCCACTGCCTTCAGCTCAGGTCATGATCCCAGGGTCCTGGTATCGAGTCCCACATCAAGCTCCCTGCTTGGCAGGGAGCCTGCTTCTCTCTCTCCCTCTGCCTGCCGCTCCCCCTGGTTGTGTTCTCTCTCTGTCTGTCAAATAAATACAATCTTTAAAAAAAAATAAAATAAACTATATTGAATTCTAAAGTGAGAGCTTTGCGCAATGCACAATAGGGGAATTCATTACCCATCATGCTGGGAGGGTCATACATTAAGCTTTCTCACTTTAGCAGAGGGGTCAGAAAACCTCTTCTGCAAAGGTTCAGAAAGTAAATTAAATATCTTAAGTTTTTGTGTGCCACATGGTCTCTGTCACAACTGTTGAATTCTGCCATTGTATCTCAAAGACAGCCAGAGATGACATGTAAACAAATGAACATCGTTGTATCCTCATCAAAGCTTCATTACAAAAAACAGACAGTTGGCTAGAGTTGACCTACAAGCCACAGTGTGCAGACTCCTAGGTCAGAATAGTGAGAGGTGGCTCGAGACTGGAAAGGGCACGGAGAGCTTCCTGGAGGAGGCTGAGCTTCATGGGCCAGGTAGGATCTGCAAGTTCCTGGACAGAAAGGTGATGGAGGAAATGCTGTTTTAATAGCAACCAGCAGCCATGAGCAGGAAACAGCTTCCAGAGGCAGGGGGAAGAGCGGGGGCGGGGGGGGGGGGGGGGGGGAGGGGGGGAGGGGGGGGGGGGGTGACAATAGAACAAAGGCAGTATGGACATGTGCTTTTGCAAGCTATTGTTTGACAGACCTGAATCTGAATTTAGCCTCTGATTAAGAAACCTATTTTAAAAGTGAAATTAGGGTTTTGAAAAACCTCTCAAGACATCCTCAACAGCCACCTGCAGCACTCCTCCCCTCCCCCGCTGCCTACCCTGGCCATCGGACAGAAGTTCTGCCCCTGCCTTCAGCAGATATATACATACAACATACGGAAGTCCAAATATACACACATGAAACTAGGAATACTACCTCGGCCGTCTACAGAACCCAGCCTGCAGCAGGCAGCTGCCACAGGAACCCAAGCGCGGGCACCAACTGCCACTCACGGCTGCAGCAGCTGCAGGACCCCTTCAACAAGCTGGGACCACCCAGAGTACCCCGCCTCCCACCGCCCCACCTCCCCCCACCCAGCGACCGGCCCCCACACCTTCCCCCACCAAGGCAGTGGAAAAGGGAAAGAGGACATTAACAAGATTAAGCTAACACACAGATCCCCCACCCCCCAACCATCTCTATACTTCAGGGTGCTCGTGCCAAAATGCTTTCTGTTTAATCTTTAAGTCCAAATGTGGTTCCTACTGCCCCAAATTATTTTTATTAAAAAAAAAAAAATAGAACTGCAGTATATGAGGGATAAGGGAAGAACACACTTAAGAAAGAACAAGAAATTAGCCTTTGCTTTCTCTAAGTACCAAGACTGGGGCTCATGCAAACCAAATTAGAAAGAGATTAGCCTTGTTTAAATTTGGCTGTTGATAACAAATAAAAAATTACAACCTGGCAAATATTTGCTGAGAAGATCAAGACTGCTAAGGCTTAGCATCTGTGATAAGTTTAGAATGAAAGCTTGAAATGGGAAGATAAAAATAGAAAGGATGCAAGGAAATAAATATATAAACGGTCTGCCTCCAGTTCCAGAAAATTCAACGAAATCAATTGGAGTCAGGTAAGCCAATAAAGCTAATAAGAGCTGGGCACGAGCACGAGGCAGGAAGGCGATGAGGCTGAAACAGTAAATGAAATATTGAGAAGCCATTTGAAAAGAATCGTTAGGTCAAACTTTTCCCCTGGATATGAATCTTCAAACCTTCAGCATTTCGAAGGGGAGCTGAATATATCCAACAGCAAGCAACAGAAGGAAAGCAAGTGAGAGCTAGAATGGGAGCAAAGAGCTTTACAGATCTGTTACTTAATAACGAATTTCCAGCATGGTCATGGTACCTTTTCATCCCCACCACTCCCCCACCCCCCACCCCCGCAACCCTTGTCTGTCCTGCCTGAGTGGCTCACTGGCCTGGTATCTGAGTCTCGATGCCTGTGTATGTGACTGCTACCCTGATGGCAGGTAAGTCTGACTCTGGCCGTCTGGAGCTTTCTCATTCCACTCCAGCCCCTAGCCCCGGGTCACTATTGAAGGCAGATGTTTAAAAGTCAACTTCATCACAAAGTAAATGCTAACTTTATCCATTTTATTTCCCTGATTAATAGCCAAAATACCAAGATTGAAGAAAAAATAAGAAATTTCCTATTTTTCTCTGCAGCTAATAAGATTATATATAATAAAAACCCATCTTTGAGAGTTTACTATGGGCCATTTTTCTAAGGCTTTTTAAGTATTGTTTTTATGAATTAATCCATTTGATTCTCACAACAACTCTGTGAGGTACACACTATTATTATCCCCATTTACACATGAAGAAATTGAGGCTCAGAGAAATTAAGGTGTGTGCCTAAAATCATGGGGCCAGGCTTAAAACCCAGTCAGTCTGGTTCAAGACTGGTTGTAGTCTTAATTGTTTGGTGTATACCAAAGAAATAAATTATGTATTCCAGAAACCAACTTATTTTCATATACCAAACTGAATAAGGCTTATAGGTACGTGTTTTTATACATAGAAAATCTCATATAATCACATGTAATCATGGTACTTGCATGCATTTATAGATCATGGAAAGTACTTCCATATTTATTCATTTATTAATTCCTCTCAGTAAGATCAGAGATAGTGGTTGGGGCACTAGAAATGCATATATGTTTTTAAAACATTGAGATTTGACATTTGGAAACATAAAAATTGTGGTCATGGGAAAAACAGAATGCATTGCCCTTCTTTGCCCTTGTCATGGATTAAGGTGTTTTGGTGTGAATTGTATATGAGAAGAATGACAGGAGGGTCTCCTGATCTTTTCAGGGCCTAGGATATATACCCATAATCATTTCACGTCTATCTGGGGGTACATGTTATAATGTATATGTCATAGGTGTCATAGTTCAGCATCCTAAAACTCTCCTCTGGCCCAAAATCGAAGTCACTCAAGTACTTCACATTTTAGAGAAAGCCCCCAGCAGCTAGAGTCAGCCAGGTTATTAAGAGTCAGCAGAGCAAAGGGTGCCTGAGTGGCTCAGTGGGTTAAGCCTCTGCCTTCAGCTCAAGTCATGATCTCAGGGTCCTGGGATTGAGCCCCGCATCGGGCTCTCTGCTCAGCAGGGAGCCTGCTTCCCCCTCTCTCTCTGACTGCTGCTCTGCCTACTTGGGATCTCTCTCTCTCTCTCTCTGTGTCAAATAAATAAATAAAATTTTTTAAAAAGAGTCAGCAGAGAAACTCCTGGGTGGCTCAGTCGGTTAAGCGGCCAACTCTTGATTTCAGCTTAGGCCAGTGAGATCAAGCCCTGTCTCAGTCTCCATGCTCAGTGGGGAGTCTGCTTGAGGATTCTCTCTCTCCATGTCCCTCTGCCTTTCCCTCTGCTCATGTATGTGCTTGCTCTCTCTCTCAAATAAATAAACCTTAAAAATTTAAAAAAAAAAAAAAAGGAGACCGCAGGAATGGCCCTACCACTAAATAAATTCTCTCATGGGTACCTGGCTAGAACATGTGACTCTTGTTCTCAGGGTTGTAAATTCAAGCCCCACACTGGGTGTAGAGATTACTTCAAGATAAAATATTTAAAAAAATAAATTCTGTCCAACCACCCTTCCCACCCACCCACAAACTCCCCCACTAGTCTAACAGGAGATAAGAGAGGCACAGGATTTCGGGGAGGGCCAGTGTTTGAGGGAGAGGGCAGGTTCTTTCCCCTCCCCACAGTGAGGAGAGTAGATTGCACCATGACAATCATTTAGGGGGACTGCCCAGGAGAAGTGGGGCCTGATATCGCATTTCCAACCTGGACCACAGCTGAGCAGCAGGACCTGGAACCCTCCTACTATGGCCACCAGACTGAAGTAGGAGAAAGACATGAGAGTATCAGGAAGCTAGGAATATAGGGCTCTGAGGTAGAAGGTAGAGGTAGAAGAGGAAGTTTGACATGCGTCCTCTGACATTTGAGGTTCACATGAACATGAAGTCAGATGCCTTGTAAACTCTAGAGATTTCTGTGGAATCCAATATGATGTGCCTGGGAGGAAAAGGGAGCTGTTCTGCTCACCTCTCAGGAGACAGAAGGGGCTCCCAAAACTCCCATCACTCCTGCTTTGTGAGGGGTTCCCAAGCTCTATAGGGTACACAACCTAGAGAAAGGGTCAGTGGCATGACCACTGCCAAGGCCATGGGGATGCAGGGTGCATGTCTATAGAGA